AAGAATATGATAGAAATTGAGTAATGCATGCATCGCTGTACAATCAAACACTGTTGCAGCATTACAATTTTGTAGCGACCAATTAATTAATCACACTCAGTTAAGATGGCAGAATCGCTGGGTGCCTTATGATCGATGGGTAAAATTAAAAGTAAAAAATTATGCTTCTAAAAGTTTTAGTTGAAAATAATAAAATCCGTTAAAAAATTGTGTTTAGAAAAATTCAAGTTATTTTTCGCATCAGCAACAAATTAATCATCTCTGACCGCAGAACTCACACCAAAATAAGTAAGTTCGCAAAAAAGTATTTACATGTAATATACATATAACGTAATCTTACAGGAATAAAATTAGCAAAAAATGTTTATATTCCCAACCCAAGCGCATCGAAAAGGAAAAGACGGCTATAAGGTTGTGCAAAAAAAAGCTTCCCGCTACCAAAAGTAAAACTGAAAAGAGCCAGGAAATCCGTAGCAGCTTTCGAGTCCTTCAAACAGACTCGTTGCACACCAAAGCCGCGACTCAAATGAAAGCTCGAGTAGATCCCGCTAGAAAGGCAACGAGTGCTGTCGGATTTACAAACGTGCCTCGAGAAAAAAACACCCATACCGAAAATCGGAATGAAAAAAACACATAAATATACGAGCTCAAAAGCGAAATTCATCTTTGAGTCCAAGTCATTAATTATCAACGTGTCGCCGCGGGTCTCGACACTAAAATATCCCCGAAAAACGCCGAGTGCGACTTCTTCATCTTGCAGCAGCAAAGTTAATTATAACTCATGCCACCAAGATGTCGTACTCCTAGCGACTTCACCGAGACATTTATGCTAACGAAGTCTCAGTCTCGCGCTATTGCTTTTATTCAGAAAAATGCAGGCTAGTGCAGCAAGGCATGAAAGTCAAGTGTACACACAAGTCAAAGCCTGCAGAAAAACGGAAACTAAGGCAACGCACTTCTCACCTTTTATATGAATTTATTGTAAAATAAAAGTTTTGCCGTCTTCTTGAAAGTTTTCAATCAAGCTGAAAGGTTCAATCAAGCTGAAAGGCAACATAAACATCGTAACAAGGACATGATATCTACAAGTTTCACTAAATAAAGTTTATAGATTTCTCAGTAGTGAATCGGATTTTTGAATAAATGAAATAATTTTTTCAAATACATCTAGATTCATTCTTAAATTATAGCGTATCCTCCGAAAACATACGGCTCAAACTAAAAAATATGAGGTATAAATTTTCCAGCGTTATGGTCCAATTCAAAATAAACCCCGAGTTTGTTCTCGATAACAAAATTTGTGTCAGTTTTCTTGAGCGTAAACACGATCAAACTGCGCCAGATGGGCAATATGTTACACAATTTCTTAAATGGCTTTGACTCCTATAGTGCAGACGGCGACCAAATCTAGTGGAGCCTCGAAGTTTGTCAAAAATTGGACGAGTCCAGAAAACTTTTCATATAGATTTTCACTTTGCTGAGCTGTCATGAGTCGAGCTTATATCAAAGTGAAAAATCATGCAGGAACCATCGCTGAAAACTTTGTGGCATGGAGTTTAGGTCTATAATTTAACAGTTCAAGTATCTATGAAGCGACTGAGTATTAAACTCTTGCTGTTCGTAGCCGGGAAACTTTTAAGGAACACCGTGAGGGCTTTGCACAGAGAGACCATGAAGAGCCGAGCTTTCCACACGTGTTGGCAATTATCAAAAAGCTCCTGGCGCATAATTTTTTGCATTGATGAATACCGTTAGCATGACATAGAGTGGCATATGAATGAAGGAGTTATTGAAAAAAATGAAGCATGATAGCTTACACAAAGGAGAAGAAAGGCTTAACATCATATGAAATTTTGCGAACTTATTAGATACCCATTTCCACGCCTGTTCCGCGTAAACATCGGCCGTTGAAGCTACCCTGTCCCTGGGACGGCCGGTCGAAGCTCTTTATGGAAGACCCGCTCGCTTTTTACGGTGCCTCATGCGAAAGAATTTTGGTCAGGAAAATATGCTGTCGTAATACCGATGTCGAAATATTGCGGCACCCGAGACGGCTGAGGCAGCATCAGTTTTATATGGGTATAAAACATCGAGTCGTGCACAAGCCACGCACCGAAAGTCAAGAAACGGCTCGAGGAAGGGAGGGTAACGTCGGGAATGTTGTGATTGCGGCCCACGGAATCCAATGTAGCGATTCCCGATGTAGTCAGGGCGTTCACTAGGGCAAATGGACTCGTCCAATGGACCTGTAAGGTTAAGGAACTTTCCCGGCCCTAGACATGCTAGAGCTCGGCGCATTGATCGCATTATATAGCAGGCTTGAGGAAACACATGGTGCTATTGGAATGCTCAGGTTTTCACTGATGGCTTCCAATTGCATGCATTACGCTATTTTTTTGTGGATTTCATTCAGTTTGCATGCATTGTTGACATTTTTGTAAATTAACGATTAGAATTCATTCAACCTCCGTGAAAACCCAACACGACACCACCTATTTATTTCGACAACACCAGCATTTTCTACGTTCTAGACAGTTGAATGAAAATCTAAAAATTTTAACATTATTATGCCTTATTGATGCAGAAATAAAAACGCAGGTTTGCGAAACAGCTAATTTAAATTAGATGCTAGATATTGGCAGAATCAAATTTTTAATTAAAGGCGAGCAAATATAGCAGCCTTAGCAGCAAGTAAAATGAACACGATTTTACGTCATTTTTTAGACATTTGGACAACATTACAGATAAACCGATATTATAAAATCATCAAAGATATATGAGCCAATGAAAAAATTTGTGAGCAAGCAATGTAAAAACATAAGACATCTACATAGACTCAATAGATGAAACTCCAGTAGAACTAAAAACAAATGTTGAACCTGAATGAACAAGCTTTGCGTGAGATGACAAAACTTTAATGCCAGACCTGCACAGCGTTGCAATCGCATCGAGGTACAATCGAAAGAGCGCTCATGCCAATAGGATTGCAAACCAAACAATCAGTGGAACCAAGAGAATAAAAGAAATAAAACAGCGAAGAGTATTTCAGTTGCAACTTCAGAAATTGACTTGGAGTGCTCGCAGCTGAGAGCGTGATTGATTCAACTTGGAATCCCAAACTGGACCAACTTTTCGTAAATAAATTTCTGAACGTGTGAGGCTCGGAGAGCGAGATATATTCAGTAATACGAACGGTCTTCCAGTGAAATGAAAAATCACTTTGTTTTATAAACCACGGAAAAGTTGAGCACTATTTTTATATTGAAATAAATGAAATACTTGATATATTTATTTTTATCATTCACTTTAATTAACGGAGTGAAAGACGAACCATTAGCGGTCATTGTGCGCTAACTGAATACCCCAAAAATAATACGGTGAGTTCCTCATCATCAGCATCACTACGACCATTATTGCACCAGTGATCAAATGAGCATCAAAACGGTGAATAAAAAGCCTGGTCTCGTCCAACAAAGGCGATCTGATTCAATTAGAAGTTGAAGCAGCGTTCCCAGCGGAGAACAAGTCAAAGTTGTGGAACTCAACGAAAAATTGCGAGCAAAAATTGAGACCAACTCGGCATAGAAATGTGAGAAGATAGCACATGAGTTGTGTTATTCGAATGCTATTTCCATCCAGTCTAGCGGCAATTCCCATGAAGACGAGCGGCACGCTTTGAATAAATAAGTTTAAGGCAGCTTCCACAAAGTAGAAAAAAAATAAAATATTGTACTCCATTTCTACGCAGAGAAGTAATGCATCATTTTTACGTGAAAAATAAGCTACATGATGACAAGCAGCTGCTTGGATCGGCAAACCGGACAATGACAAATGAATTTAATTAGCAACAATGCTTATTACGAATCATGAGTACGAGTTAAACAACTTAATTGACTCCAACAAAATAAAACTATAATGCTTAAAGCCAGTGATCTACTGCTCATAAAAAGTGACTAATAAATGTAAAATTCATGCATATTCTACAGTTCAATGCTAGACGAGGTACGATCTCATTGAAAGGAAAAGTAGGTAATCCCGGGCTGATGGGATCCGACTATGATGGCAAGTCGCAATTTGCTCTGAATTGTTCTCAACTCCTGAACGCCGGAGCTAGGTACGACAAAACCTCATAGTGTCTCGAGCAGCAATCTGATTAGAATGCATAATAGGACAGAAGTGCAATGACTCTAAAAGGGACCAAGGAAATTCTCATTCAAAGCGTGGATTGCCGCAGCCGCAGGGAGGCTGTCGAGCGTAAAATGATTCGATGAAGCCTCGCAAGGATTCGAGTGAGACAATTCTTGAGGTAATAGCTAACTGAAGCTAGAAACTACAAAACTCTTCCCTGACTGCTCTGTCAAGTATTCATGATAAATAAATTAATTGGGTAAGGCACAAATCATTAGCATTGCATATTTGTTTGTATTCGAACGCCAAGATTTGTTGGCAACTATCGGACCCTGATACATATCAGAGCGAATCTCGATTAAGGAATTCACAACTCACGATGTGAATGTTGTTCGACGCCTTAGTCGCGCAATATAAGTGATGATGAAATCGGTGACATTACCGACAGCGTGCCGATGATTGAAAATCTTCAGCTCACGACTTTTTTTACGAATTACCGACCGCCGTGACTCTGATATTCTATGTATAATTCAAGAGTTAGGCCTTCAGCAATCACGAAAATGAGCCGTGACGTGAAATTATGTCGACAACACTTATGATGTTTATTTCGTTGAGCGCGTAATTTCACTTAAATAACTGATCTAGAAGAGGAAGTTTACACGTCAAAGCCTGTGCAGATAAATCTTGTGACTTGACGCTAAACACAGAGTCACGAAATTTGTAACGTCAAAAAACTAACCTGGACGAGGTAAGCAACGAGAAAGAACCAGTCGCCATTATATGTGACCTCGATGACACAACTGACCAAGAAAAAGTATGCCACTCAACTAAATCTGTATCAATCAACTATATTATTTCATGGACATACTGACCTGGAAAAGATATGCATCCCCAAATGCCGTGGAGAGGCAGAAGATGTAGTCGCGTTTGGGATGTTCAGGCACAGGTTGCATGATGGCTCCGTCGACGATGATGAGATGTTTGGGAGCCGCCTCGACCGAACGTCCTTCTCTGGAGTCGCATGGGTAGAATAAGAGTGTCGTGCCTTTCAGGCACACCCAGTAGCCCTTCCAGCCTCTCTTGCGTGCTAGTTCAATCTGGTGCTTCTTCCGCAGCAGCCATTTCTTCACGCTCAGGAACCTGACAAAACAAACACAAACAATGCGTCAACGAGTTGTAAACTTGGAATTCTTGACTCCAAGGAAAGGCCTCCGAGAAATTGATGACCATTTGAATAAAGATTTAATATCAGCAAGCGAATTTACGATTAGGAGAACATGGATTGGAAACATCGTCGTGAAGACTAAATAAACAGAGTAAGGAAACGGTTATAACATTTGAGTGGAGTTCGAATGAACTTTAATGAAGTGAATAAGATGAGTATACATCTCGGCAACTGGAGTGCTCAATGGCTCATCTAATAAATGCTTATATTTTTATCTAGATTTCCAACGATGAACAATTCTCAGCCTACTAAAAAAAATAAATTCATAGTGTAGAACGATCGAATAAATGTTGTATGAATTTGCATCGAAAGTAAGCAAACGATCTGCAATAGATTGACGCGGGGATTTAAACGGACCGAGATATTATTGCTTCCGCGAACTCGCTAAACTAAAGAAATAAGTTCGCTGATATGAAGGTTGAGTTGCTTCGATAGCATCCAGGTTTGCACAGCTGTGGCTGGTGTCAACACAGCGGCGTCGCAAACACGGTTCGTCCCTTAACAACGATATTGCATCGAGCAAGAGATTTCCAGGCGTTATTCTGGAATTTCGCACCTATGCCGTGGCGAGACCTAGTTGTGATAAAATCGTTTTAAATTCAGGCGAATTATATACATCAGGGATATTTAAATTTAGTGGTAGTCAGCTTAGAGTTATCAGTGAAACTATTGCCAAAGTCAGCCGTGAAAAATGAATGCTTCTATTCAAAATGTCGCTCACAGGCCAGAAGCCACACATAAATTCTTGGATCCTCGAAGTGAGGCAGCAAAAACCTTTCAAGAGGAACGTCAACCCTCAAAGAAATTTTCAGCAGAAATTGAAGCTTCGAATCGAAATAAAAGAGGAATGCTTTTCTCAACTAGGAGAGCGTGTGAATTGTTCGTGTCGTTTTGAGAGAACACAATTATAATCGTGAACATATTTTATTTTATTCATGACCTAATGGATTTTGACCCGTGATGAATTTGAATACAAATCTGGTGGGGTGGTACTCTGGTGAATCTAGAAATATCTATACCAAAAACTATCGATGCACAAGCAAGCGCACTTTACGGTGTAATAAATGAAAATTCCTGAATTTATCCTACGTTTTGGGTCATTTCCTGACATCTCAGAGGACATGGAACGTGACAATCACAGAGAAATAAATTTTGTTAGTGAAACATAATCTAGAAACAGTGACGGTAATAAATTATACTATAACAATCAAAGTTGGCTCACTCCTTAATTGCCAATCGCTATGAACGAATAACGAAAATATTAATTGAACCCAGACTGAATAATATTTAAACCCGGAATGAAGGCCAAAACTTCCATGAACAAGGCCCCGGTGTAACATTGATCGCTTCCGAGAGCGGTTGTACTCGCATGACAATCAAGGAGCGTGTATGCACGTATGAGCCGCTCCGAACGCTATGTGGTCTTCAGAGCGTTCAGAGCTCCAGGGCATCAGAGCAACACATGAGACACAGATCAGTCCTCAGTATTCCAGTGTTCCTCAGTATTCGGCAGCGCTGGAGCTAAACTAATGAGGGATACACGGCATAATTAGACACGACATCGACGCCTGACGTCCGGCCAGCGTTTCTGAAACGAATCAATTGACAGGTGCCATATTATTCTCATCTTCCAGTTGATGCATGAATTTCGTTGATCAAACACGTTAAAAGATAGAAATGTTATAGTGTTGTATTTTGCTAAATCCAGATTTGCGTATTTTTGCGACTGATTGATGGAACATGAAATTTTCAGCTTCTTCAGTTCAGTGTAACACTTGGGATTGCGCGGGCACGATACTTGAATGGTTATTTACCAAATTATGCAAATAAAAGCTCAGAGACCACACTCTTTAGTAAAATTTTGCGGCTATTTAATTCAGTTTCCTGATTAAATGAGCGCAATGAAAATCGGAAACGGAAGGAACAGAATTCTACCTTACCGAGCAAGAGGATAAGAGAAAAGAGCAGCAAATATGAACATCATAGAAAAATATTAAGGAATAATTATGTATGAGCGACTCAAATTAAAGACACAGCGCAAAAGTTGGAAACGGTTTTCTCGACGCATCACTGAGAAAACAAATACAAAACAAAACTTGAAGAAAACCAACGAGATAATAAAATTGAGGGCGGACCTGCGAAGGCTAAAAATTCGGCGAGATGGTCGGTTTACGACAACATCGGGTAAGCAGCTTGGCGAGATAGACACCTGAGACCGTTTCGGCTAGAGCCGCACGCAACTCAGCCTCGAGGGACGCAGGACTGGTTCATCGGAAAAGAGTCGGGAGCCCAATTCCCATCCCAATAAAAGGCAAGGAATCGAACTAGGAAGTCTACCCAGAATTTTGTACCAATTCAAAAATATCGCCCAAATCTGTAAAACATGAGTAACAGCGTCTGAACAGTGTTGTCCCGTATGAACTTATTTTCTTTGTGCGAGTGCACTTCATTCGGTACTTTAAATTACACGGAAAGGTTTTCGGTCATATACCTAAAGCTAACGTGTTTAAAATAAACTGCGTTGTATCCGGTCGATATCATAATTATCTAACTTTTTAACATTACCTCGTTTAACATCGCAACATATTAGATGCCTTCTGCCTAGATAACTCATAATTGCTCCACATACACGCTATGCTGACATGCGCTCATAAGTAAATTAACATTAAGATGTTCAAAAACGCAGTACTCCCTTCAATGAATCGACCAGACGGATGCATTGGTAGGAAGTTCCATTAGCAAAAGGGGTAATGAATGAGAAGCGTTATTATAAGCTCTTTTTAGCAGGTGAACTTGGCAACACAGACTAAGATCTGAATGAAGTAAGACCACATGCAAGCTTTAGAGTTAGATAAGAAAAGCATGGTTGTGATTCTAGACCAGTGTTTTGATAAATATAATTTTAGAAATCGGAAGAATTGGAAAATAAATCATTAGACCGACAAATCCGTGATCTCAGTTATGATGCAAAATACCAGAGGTTGAAGAAGAAGCGAATGGACTGCGTCTTCTTCGCAATAGTGCGGGGACATACCGCAAGCCTAAAAACATTGATAACTTTAATAAAAATCTCCAGATGTAACAACTAAGCTCATTAAATCGCAAAAATTAAGAAGAGTTGCATGGCTAAAGAATCTCAATTTTGGGAAGCTAGTTTATCAGCACGCAAGTTTCATTAAAAAATTAAATACGTGCTTAAATTTCCTTTCAAATCATTCCAAGTTCTAGTTGAAATACACGAATTCAAAATATGAAATTCATTCAACGCTCGGGACCACAAGTTCTGAAGCGATTGATGCTTGGACGAGACGGAAAAGAGGTGCTGGTATTCGCTGATAGTCTCGTGACAGGCGCTGACTTTTATTATCATTGACAGTCGTAACAGATGTCAGGATGTCGCCCCGACGCAGTTGCTTTTCGCTGCTCTAGCATATCTTGCGAGTATCGCTTGCCAATATCGCTCCAATTTGCATTTGGGCAGACATAGACCCACAGCAAACGTGACACTGCAGACATATATAAGGTGCTATCGTGCTGCGATACGTGTTACGCAAAACATCTTAAACTCTCAATTGTGCAGAAAAAGAGTCATACAACATCGCGGTAATTTCATGCATCAGTTGTTCAGGCAGTATGATGTATTGAAAGTATTCATGCCATTCACTCATTCGCAAGCAAGGTACAGCTAGCGTAATTTATCCACTGCATTGAGAAGATGGCGCTACGATTTTCTTTGGATTGCAACGATTTTCAGCTTTTCAAATGTCATTCTGAAATTCATTGCAAAGATGCTGTTGAACATTCATTTGTGTCACCTTTAGCTGTCATGCATGGCATTAAGAGTGCATATAATACAGTAGTAATTACCGCATGCATATGGATAAAATGAATTTCCATGACAGAGATTTTACGAAAACCTCGTACTTTGTGCAACAAAAAACTACGTTCAATAAAGAGATTTTAGAAACAATCCCATTAATAAAGTAATAAGCTTAAAAACACGAAATAAAACAACAAAACTGATTGAAATCATACACAATGATTTTCGTGGTCAATAATAGTCTTTGCCGGGTTTTTAACTTTGGTTCTTAAAGAGCAGTATTGAGAGCATGAATAAGCGTCAGCCTATAGATCCTCAAGGGAGAAGCTTTTAATAAGCTTAGCGTATGCAGAGTCACACGCGGCAAAAGCTTCGTGAAGTCTCTGGCATATAATGGAACGCACAGACGGCTCTACATAACGCGATACGCGGCCTGGACTACAGTGCATCTAGCGGCTCTTCGCCTGGCAAGCGTTGCGTGGTCGCCATCACAGTGCAATTAGCGGCTCTTACGGCTCTTCGCCTGGCAAGCGTTGCGTGGTTGTCATCACAGTGCATCTAGCGGCTCTTCGCCTGGCAAGCGTTGCGTGGTCGCCATCACAGTGCATCTAGCGGCTCTTCGCATGACAAGCGTTGCGTGGTCGTCATCACAGTGCAATATATAGCAGTTTACAGCGCAATGTTCCGCATGGTTTAAACTTTACAGCGCAATGTTTCGAGTTTTCACGTGAAATTCGTACAAAAACCACGACAAAGCGCGACAGGCGCACGCTTGCGGTATTTAATCTGGGGAGGTTCAGAAATAAATTTCTCTTCATGAATGGTTTCAGTGGACATTGAAAAATGAACAGAAAGTGAACTCAGCCACTAAGTCGAGTATCTCAAGAAAAGACACCGATTTAAATGACTCAATTAAGGCACTATACAGATCATGTTTTACTATTTTATAAAATAAAAAATTTTAGCCAGTAAAAAAATTAGACGAACTCAGATTAGTACGATCAACGACAACCCAACTCATGAATATATTTTTGATTGAAAAGAAGCTTATCAAGCATCATTCAGATAATATGAAACAGAACGAAGACACTTGCC